ATCTTCACTCAACAGGATTCTGCTTTTTCCAAACAACTTCTATCAAGTCTCTCAAAACAGATGCAAAGCCTGTCTTTCTAACCTTACCTTCATCTCTCAGACCCTTTACGGCAAAAATGCATTCCTCAAAGGTTTCCATTATCAGCTTGTGGATGGTTCTAGAGAGGAATATGCTCAGATAACTCTATACACAGCAAGAAATGAGGAGTCATCTGTCCTCCAACCAGCACAGCAGCTAAAGAGAGTTCTCTCAGCAGACAAGAACCCTTCTCCAGCCAACCAATCAAACAGTGCCTCTTTTCCCCCAATCAATGGATTCTCAGCAAAACATCTGAAAGGCTTGATGTTCAGTGGTCATCTATTTCAGCTGGGTGACTACTAAAAGTCAGGCTCTTCAGAGCCACCTGTTTTAACTGTGGCTGGGTAGGTGAATGTATGGGGTGTTCATGGAGGACTGGTGGGAGGACTTGCTGAGCCCTTTTCAGAGCTGCTTATCCATTTTAGGTGTCTACCTATCACCCAACTCTCACCTGTGGCTCCAAGAAGCTGCAGCATGAACAGTGCCCACACCCTGGTAAAAACTATCTCGAGGCCATGCTAAATCAGGTTGAGGGTAACTGACTTGGCACTAAACTCGTCAGTGAGTGAGGGGCATATGTACCCCAAGTATGTGGAGTCTTTCCCTGGCAGAATGGTTGCATGGGAACAAATTGCTCCAATGGCCATGAAGATGGTTGAAGCAGATGCTGTGGGGCACTTAGAGCTTGGCCAGACATTTAAGATGCCCAGGCCATTGCCAGTCATCTTGACTCTTATCCTGCCACTGGGCTTCAATGACCCTGGGAGAGAGTGAGGCTGATGACTTTGTGCAGCTCTGCCTCACTTAAATCCAGTTCATATGCAAGTTAAGACATCACCCCATGATAGCTGGGAGTGGCTTCATGTCTCTCCTTCTATGTCTTCTGTTCCCAGATTCCTAAAATATTTCCTGTGTTCAGCTTACTATCCTGTTTCTTCTACTGGCTATCTCTTCTCGTGACTTCTTGTTTCTAGCTTCTGAGTCAAATCATTGCCTCCTCATAAGCAGTGAATCATCTCCTACTAATGATGTGAAACTGAATGATTCCACCTTCTTTTGAGGTATCTCTCCAAAGGTCCTTACACAATATTTCCATAGTCCCCAGTTATTTTATTTACTTTTTTTTTAGTTATAACAATCACATGCAAACGCGCTGAGGGAAAGTCATGCCTCTTACCCATTATTACCTCAGTTATTATATTACCTTTATCCAGGTCTTCTCAGTACCATCCTCTGAAGGACAGTTCTCTACCTGCTCATCAGAGCTGTCAATGTCTGTCCTCAATATTCTGACTGAGAGGCTTTTCTAAGATACTTCCTAAGTTGAATTTTATCAGTTTGGCTGTCATATGTCCTTAAGTCTGCCCCCTTCAGCAACCAAAATGTTCACATATGAAACACAAAACATTGCTTAAAAAATGTTAAAGAGTACAGGGCCAAGCAGAGACTTCCTGACATGTTGACTTTGAACCAACAACTTCAATGTCCAGAATTCTTTCCAATATGCCCACTGCTTTGCAAGAATGCCTCAAACCACCAGTTTTGCCCAACTTCCTGATTTCTTGCTAGGGCTTAAGGGGGGTGCGGATACTACAGGCAAGCATGGATGCAGGGTCTAGTGCAATGAGTTGTAGATTTGGAGTCAGAGGATAATAATAATAACAATAATATTTATATAGAGCTTTCTTTGTGCCAGGGATGGCAATAAGAACTTTACAAGTATTATCTCGTTTTATTCTCACAACAATCCTGGAAGGAAGGTACTATTTTATCCCCATTTTTCAGATAAAAAAAAAAAAAACTGGACACAGAGGTTAAGTGACATGTCCAGGGTCATACAGCTAGTAGTGTCTGGGACCAGATTTGAATGCAGGTCTTTCTGAATCCAGGCCCAACACTCTCTACACTATAACTGCCCCTTCCTTACCTATTACATTGTAAACTGTCTTAAAATACCAGTAATTACCTAATAATAATAACTGACAACCATCCTGCCAGGAAGATACTGCAAATATTAGTCTGTTTTACAGATGAGGAAATAATGCCTCAGAGGAGGGTGATTTGACCAAGGTCACACAGTCGGTAAATGTCAGGGCTGGATTTTGAAACCAGTTTTTCCTTTCACTAGAGTCATATTTGCACTTTACTGTACCATGTCTTCTTGTTGTGGGGATTGTTTAAAATCTTAAAAGATGTGATATTCCCATGCTCAGCTTACGTGACGTTTGCACTGTCATTTTTTTTTGAAGGCGTCTCCCCTTTTCCACTTCAATGTATAGACATTCACCATCAGCACCCTTGGGCAGCCAGAGGGGTAATCAGCTTGGAATCCAAGAAGTTTCCAGCCACTCCCAGCTATCATGGGGTGATGTCTTAACTTGCATATGAACTGGATTTAAGTGAGGCAGAGCTTCTGCACAAAGTCATCGGCCTCACTCTCTCCCAGGGTCATTGAAGCCCAGCGGCAGGATAAGAGTCAAGATGACTGGCGATGGCCTGGGCTTCTTAAATTGGTGGGCTCCGAGGTCCGGGCAGGTCAGCATAGGAGGGGAGGGGAGGATTGTTTGCCTGAACTAAAATAAAAATGATATCAGAGGATTCTCAATCTGGGACTTGAAGGGACAACATCAAGAGCCATCTCGTCCTACCCCCTCATTTTACAGACAAGGAAACTGAGGCCAAGGAGATCCTCATCAGTTATATCTTACAGAAGTCTGCTTGCCACTATGCACCTCCCTGTGGGGATTCATTTTCAATTCTTCAAAGGCTGTTGCATCCCATGTCTCATATCCGCAATAGCAAAGCCACCAAAATATTGAATAATAATAATAAACCACATTGATAAAGTACTTTTTTTTGGTTGTTACATCTCAGGAATCTAAGAGAGTGCTTTGCATGTGGTATGTGCTTAATAAGTGTTTTGTGAATTATGTCAACCTAGCCCTTCTTGGGAATCCACCCTCAATGACTCTATCTGTATTAAACCTCATTACCAGTTCCTCCAGTCATAGTCACATAGTAAGAGTGATTTGGCTGTGTAGTAGAGGGTATAAAAATAAATCCATGGTTAAAGGACAGAGAAATGCAAACATGCAGGCAGCTCAAACAACAGAATAAATCGATAAACAAAAATATCACCACAAAATCTTCATCAGGTTGACTAGAGTAGACTATGAAGGTTAGAGGAAGTTTGAGATTTTCAGCTCCTTCCTGGAGTGGGCGACCAGCCTGCCATCTCTCTTTCAGCTGGATGTCGGACTTCTTGCTCAACACGATTCACGTCCCTATCAACGTTTCTCTAGCAACTCTGAAGCTAAAACAACTCCTGCTCTTAGCCCATCTTACGGTGTAGTAATTTACTTTTATTTTCAGCTGTTAAAACGTTAGGGTTTAGAGAGTTCAGTATTCAGATTGAGAGGCAGTGTAGGGTAGTGGAAATTAGACCGGATTGGGAATCTGGGGACTTAGATCATGTCTCTGACACTTGACATCTATATGTGGGGACATACTTAAGGCAATGCAACTGGTACTTGTTTCAGGGTATTGAAATTTAAAAGGTGCTGATGTCACATGAGATCTCATCACCATGCTGATTGACTCTGTTTTTGATACTTTCCAACTAGGGCTGAAGGGTAGAGTATTAAACTTCTCCCAAAACCTTCCTCTATAAGAGAGATCTGAACTTTCCAGGTAATTTCATTTTACATGATTAACTTGACTTTGTTTCTACTCCAGCAAACAACATGGTGGACCCATCCTCCCACCCTCCACTTTCCAGATTCCTTTGTATGTTGTCTTCTCCGAGGATTTGTAGGTTCTTTGGGGGCAGGAGGCTGTCTTTTTCTAATTTGTATCCCTAGCACTCCCCACAGTGCCTGACACACAGTAGGCACTTAATAAACACTTATTGAAATGAATTGAATTGATAACACTTGGACTCCTCCACCAACAGATAGAAACAACAGAGTCAAGCAATGAGTTAACAAAAATAGTGATCAAAACAATAATAGCTAACATATATACATACATATATACACATACATGCATATGCACACACACATGCATACATATAAACTTTAAAGTTTTCAAAGCTTAAATATTATTCCAAAGTTTACATATACTATCTCATTTTAACCCGTTAGGTAGAGGTTACCTATTACCCCCATTTTAATAATAAGGAAACTGAGGCAGAGAGGGATTAAGTGGGTTGCCTAGGGTCACACAGAGATTAAGTGTCTGAGCCTGGATTGGAACTCAGGACTACAATTCTAACATTTTGTCCACCCTGTTACCTAGGCTAGTTAAAGCAGAGAGCTAAGCAATGAAGTCCTTCCTGTTCCAATGGCCTCCCTCCTCCTCAGCTCAGCCATGCCCTGTTTCCTCTCTCCTGTTGTCCATGAGGGAATGCCTTTGATGTTGCTTCTACCAGCTCTGTTTTATGAGGCTTTCCCTGTGTACCAGAATTCCTAGTTATAGCTCTGCCTCTGGGACCCTGGTCTTTCAGTTTTTCCATCAGCAAAATGGAGATAAATGAATTAGATTGTAAGCTCCTTGAGGGCAGGGACTGTCTTGCCTCTTTTGGGTCCCCAGTGCTTATGACAGACTAAGCACTTAGTAGGTACATAGTAAGCACTTAATAAATATTTATTAATTGATTGATGAATGAATGAAACACATTCATTACACACTTACTATGTACCAAGTACTGTACTAAGTGTTGGAGATACAAGTACAAAAGTTGAAACAGTTCCTGCTCTCTAGGAGCATAACACAAATGGGAAGGGAGTTTTGATCTGGGAAATCACAGGGATGGTAGATGGAGCTAGGACAGTCCACTGTCATGCCCTTTGCAGGAGAAATGATGATATGATTATTATTTTCAAAGAAGAGGGGAAAAGCTGGGAGAGGGGGAGGTACTTACCCCAATAGGGTGGATGGCTAGATGGTATGCGAAGCCTGGTCCAGTCTGGGGCAGGCTGGGAACATTCAGTAAACCAATCAGGACAGCTGGTGCAAAAGGGCAGGAGACCCAAAGCTGAGCTGATCTGGTCCCCCAAGGCACAGCTGGCATTGAGTGGGTGCCAAGAGTGTTATACCTGGTATTTGTTCCTTTCGTACCCACACCTCACACCCCAGTCTCCCTATTTAGCAGCCAATTGAGAAACCCTATGGATTCTGGGGAATGCTCCTCTACCTTGACTGCAGCCCAGCTCTACCTCCAGCATGGAGGCAGGCTATCCTGGAGGCTGTACTCTGGACCCTAGAAGCAGCCAAGATTTCTCATTAGAGAAGCTTCAACTTCCTGCCTGCCAGTAGCTACGCCCAGGGGTGGGGGTGGGGGTGGGGACTGTCCTCCTTAACCCCCTACTTGCCCTTTGCTCACAAATTACTAGTTACAGCCCTGTCTGCCACACACCATGGGGAGATGGCTGCAGCAGCCAAGCCCCAGATTCAGATAAGGAAAAAAAAAGAAAAGAAAAGAAAAGTGAGTCATGAAAATGCTATCGACTTCTAGTTCCCAACTGAGTCAGGCTTTCAGTCCCCGTGACAGGCCCGGGATGGAGCAGATGCTTTGGTGGCCCCTCCTACTTCTGCCTGTGCCCAGGACGGCTCCCATCTGGGCTCTGTTGACAAGGTGCCTTCTGGACGCTTGCTGCTGAGCACCACCAGCTTATGGCTCATAGAAGGAAGAGGATTTGCTTAAAGCGGCTTCAATCCACAGGTTTCCTTCCCTAACCCCGTCTCAGGTCAGAGCATTAAAGCCCGCAGTATTTTTGGAAATGACAAAGTGAGTCAATGGAGTCTTTGCATTTTCCCACGTACCATTTGCCAGGAATCTACAGTCAGAGCCTGACTGAGGCTCAGCTTTCCCAGTGATGGCTTCCAAATAAAAAACGAAGAAAAACAAGTGTGTCTCTCACATGGGCACGTGATTAGATCGCGTGTCTCAAACTCAACTGAATTAAACTGAACCAACAAATAAAGGATCTGCTACAGGTGGGTCAGCAGCCTAGTGCCCAAGACAGTTCTCGAGGCCCAGAGGCGTTAACTGGCCTCCCCGAGGTGGTAGATGTCCAAGGGAGGTTTTCTTGCTGACCTTCCATACACCTGGCTTCTCTGTATTGGGAGAAGGAGATAGATAGATAGATAGATAGATAGATAGATAGATAGATAGATAGACAGACAGACAGAGAGATGTACATGTATGTATGCACCCACATATATACACACATATGCATATATACGTACACACATACATATATATATATATATGTATATATGTTTTGTTTAGTTGTTTTTAGTTGTGGCTGACTCTTCGTGATCCCATTTGCGATTCTCTTGGCAAAGATCCTGGAGTGGTTTGCCATTTCTTTCTCCGGCTCATTTTACAGATGAGGAAACTGAGGCAAACAGGGTGAAGTGACTTGCCCAAGGTCACACACCTAGTAAGTGTTTGAGGCCAGATTTGAACTTAGGAAGATGAGTCTTCCTGACTCCAGGCCTGGTGCTTTATCCACTGTGCCACTTGGCTACCCCCATGTATATACATATAAAATTTATATGTGTGTGGTATGTGTGTACACAGATATCCCATACACACACATATATATATGCACATAATACATATATAGATATCTATCTCTCCTATATCTATATATACTGCATATACAATCCTATGTGTGTGTATATATATAGAGAGAGAGAGAGACACATATATGTATATAGACACATACACAAAATAATTGCACTGGTATATTTGTTCATATATAATAACTAGCATTTTAAGGTTTGCAAAGCACTTTACAAATATTGTTGCTTTTTTGTTTTCACAACAACTCTAGGAGGTAGGTATTATTATTATCCCTATTTTACTGAGGAGGAAACTGAGGCAGAAGGAGGTTAAGTGCCTTGCCCAGGATCACACAGCTACTAAGCATCTGAGATCAAATCTGAATTCAGGTCTTCCTGACTTCAGGTCAAGGGGTCTGTTCTTTTAGCTACTGAACTATGGGGCTATATCCCTATATTAATTAAATTACAAGTAAGGTCATGGGGGGAAGTGAATAGCATCTGTGCTTGGCCCTGGGAATACAAGAACAGTGACCTAGTTCCTGCCCCCAAGGAGATAACGATCTAATTTTTCGTCTAATCTGAATGGAAAGGACAGGAGCACAAACAACTCTGAATGAATGAAAACATTTATTAATAGTGAGCAACAATTGTAATTAGTATATTAGTAAATATTGGTAATTAATAATTAATAGTGATTAATAATCACTATGTGCTAAGCACTGTGCTGAGCTCTGGAGATACGTATGCACATACAAACATACACAATATACACAACACACATACATATATATACACATTTGTATACGTATATATGTGTGTATACATATACATACACACATATACACACAATCCCTGCCCTCCAGAAGATTACATTCTAGCACGTGGAGACAGCACAAATATAGGTCACGATGGCCTCTTGGGAATAATGTTTTGGTTTGGAACTTTCAGGGATAATGACACCCCCTCCTTTCCAAGAGTAATGGCAGTATTAATTTGGTTATAGTTTTAAAACTGGAGAAGGGGGTGGCATCTCTGAGAATCCATGTGGGGCAAGCCAACTGCTGGGGAGTAGAGAATAAATTGTTGTGTGCTCGAGGCCCTCACTAATTAGGGTGGTAGGGTCTCTGGAACCAAAAGGGCTCAGCCCCCTGGGGCATGAGCTCTGGTCATCAGATGAGAAGATGGTTGGGGGCAGGGGTGCAGTATGGAGTCAGACATGCTCCAAAATGGAATGAAATGAGACAAAAGAAACATTTAACATTCCCAATGCCTAGCCCATAGTAGATGCTTCATAAATTCCCGTGAATTGTTTGATTGATAGATTCAATGTATTTGAAGAGATACATATTGCTTTCAACTGAGGGGGTGTGGTCAGAGAGGGCTTCCTGGAGGCATCACCAGTCAAGCTGAGCATAGAAGGAAGAGAAAGATGTCAACAGGTCTATACACAGGAGTGTTTGTTGGTGTGATCATAGGCTTAGAGCTAGTAGAAGCTTCAGAGGACATCAGTCCAACTCCCTCATTTTACAGATCAGGAAACCCCAAGAGCTTAAAGGGACCACAGACCATTAGTGCCATTGTCAAGATTGGAACTCATGCCTTCTGACTTCAAAACCAGTCATCTTTTGACTATGCCACGCTGAGCTAGAGAAGGCAGAACAAGACCAGGGAACATTAGTCCAGTTTGGCCAGACAGTAAAGTGAATGAAGGGACTTGAGTCACAAGAAGGCGGCTTTCTTGTCCCTCCACTGGGGTAGCCGAGGATGGAGCTGGCTCTCTATGCCCTCATCAGACCCCATTTTGAGTACTGTGGTCATTTCTGGAAACCACAGTTTCAGGCAAAAGCTGGTTGATCAACCCTTTGGAAGATAGTTTTGAGAACGTTTTTGTCCTGGTATGGGTTGAGCTAATTAATAATAGCTGGCAATTATATAGCACCTACTATGTGCCAGGCACTGTGCTAAGTGCTTTACAATTATTATCTCATTTGATCCACACAACAAACCTAAGAAGTAGGTGCTTTTGTTATCCCCATTTTACAGGTGAAGAAACTGAAGTAGATCGAGGTTAAGTGACTTGCCCAGGGTCACACAGGCATAAATGGATGAAACTGGATTTAGACTCAGGTCTTCTGGATTCTAAGCCCAGTGCATTATGGCGCCCCCTGGCTGCCTGCATATATGACCCTAATAATATGGCGAACTATAGAATCAATGAATCTTAGGAATCACAGAATCTCAGTGCCGCTGAAGTCGCAAAATCACAGCTCGGGATTATTACCTACGTAATACTGGATGACCTCTGTGTACCTCTATGTGGCTATGTAACACTTGCTACATCTGTGCCTGGGGTTCCTCATCTTTATCCTGTGATCCCAGGGACCCCCTAACCAAATCCATACCTCGCTAGAATCCATATCTCTGACAAGTTATCCTGCTTTGCTTGCAGACCTTCAGTGACGGGGATCCTATTACCTGCCGAGGGAGCCCAAGCAATTTTAGATAGCTCTTATCATTAGGATATTTTCCCTTGTATCAAACCTAAACCTGCTCCTTCCCCCTTCTTCCCTATTGTTCCAAGCTCTGGCTCTGGGAATGAGCAGAGAAAGTCTAATCTCTCTTCCACAGGAAAGTTTTCGGAGGCTTGAAGGGCTGGTCCAAGGTCAGGCAGTTATTAAGTAAGAGACTGGGGATCAACCCGGGCCCTCAGCTCCATTAATCAGCCCCAGCTGTGATAGATGAGAAAACTGCGACTGGTCAGCACCCCCAGCCCCGCCTGCACCCACCCTGCAGAAAGCCACTGATTACTACCATCTGGCATGTTTAAACGTGTTTTTGTTTACTTCTTCAGAAATAAAGTCATTGCATAAAACGAGGCTCACCTATCTGTCCCATTGCTTAAAATATGGAGGGCGCCACCATCCTTCAGTCACCTGGGGATTCAGTCCCGGAGTCATTCTCGCCTCTTCCCTCTCACCAGGGCCCCCCAACATCCAATCAGTTACCAAATCTTGTCTGTCTCCACGTCTCAAGTCCATCTACTTTTCTCCACTCGAGCAGCAACATCCTGGTTTAAATCCTCATCACGTTTGACTTATCTCCCTCTCTTCATTTAGCTGCCAAAGTGCAGGTCTGGCTAGGTCACTCCCACACTCAGTAAACTCCAAAGGCTCCCTACGACCACTTCCTCCCCAGCAGCTTTGTCCCCCACTTTCCACATTCTACATTTATGCTTTATCGTCTCCTATTAGAATGTAAGCTCAAGAGTAGGGCTATCTTGTGTTCTTATATTTGTACTCTCAGTGCTTAGCAGAGTGCCTGGCACACAGTAAGCACTTAATGAATGCTTTCTCATCTATCATCTATCAATCAATTAATCTATCTATCCATCTATCTGTCCATCCATCTCTATCTGTCTATCTGTCCATCTGTATAAATCTGTCTATTATCTATTTATCTGTCCATCCATCTGTATCTATCTCTGTCTACCTATCTGTATCTATCTATCTATCTATCTATCTATCTATCTATCTATCTATCTATCTATCTATCTATCTGTCTGTCTGTCTATCTCTCTCTATCCATCTCTATCTGTCTGTCTGTCTGTCTCTCAAATAGAGTGCAAATACAGTGTAAGAAAAGTAGCAGCAGACCCCCACCCACAAGTTCATAGGAAACAC